GATACAATGGGCTGGATTTCAATACAGCTATTTAGTTGTGAATGGGTCAAGTGCGCAGCAGACAAGAAAGGAAACTGTGTGTGTGAATGAGAGAGAAAGATAAAGGAAGTGGGGTGTAGGGGAGGGATGGACAGTGCACACATAGGAATGAGGCCATGGAAGATAGAAAGGACAGGAGACAGGGACAGGGAAGAGAAGGGAGGTGCTTGCTTAGGCTGTGACAGTGTCTGTGCAGTGCCAAGCTCAACAGAACTAGGACCTATGGAAGTGGCCGCCATACTGAGAGGGGGCAGAGCAAGTAGGATGAAAGGCTGGATGAGGCACGAGGTTCAGATCCCACATGCTCTTCCTACCCAGCAGAGGCAGGGAGTTAACAAGAGCCAGGGTCCCACACGCAGCTGTGCGCTCTGCCGACACTAGCCCTCAGCTTTGGAGCAGCCAAAGCTTTTTGGAGCTTGACCCAGCCTCATTCCCTATTAGGTTAACTCAAGCTGCAGGCACTTTCAGGGTGGCTGTTATAGGAGACTCTGCCCTGCAGAAATGCTGGGGACCTGTGACTCCTTCTCTAATGGGTGCATCGGGCTTTGACCTTGGGACCCCTTGGCCCAAATATCCCTTTCGGTGGTGCTGTCCCAGAGCTGCATGAGCTGGGCCATGGGGTGCTAAGCTAGAGCTGGTATCACTATGACGTTGCTGTGTGTGTGTCTCAAGGATTGGGGGTGGAGGGGTATGTGAGTGGGAGGAAGAGGGCAGGGACTTTCAGGGGCCCCAGGCAGGGACAGGAACACAGGTTTGATGATGGGGGAGAAGGGGAAAGAACACCCTGCCTTGAACCAGGTTTCCGAGAACACGACTCAGCGGAAGCTGCTGTTCCTTGCTGCGGTTTTGCTTTCCGGCCGCGGTGCTTCCCCCCACCCACCCTTCTCGGTGCCAACAGCCCCTCCCAAGGCCAGGAAACAAAACCTAACTCTCTTGGCTCCCTCCAACCTGACTGAGCCACCAGGTTCTCATCATTCATTTGGGGAGGCTCAGTCCCCAGGGCAGCGTCATGGAAAACCCTGAACGCCTGCTCAGTTCATCCTCTGCTTCACAGGCCTGGACTACCAGACCCTCGTGGCATCACCCCCTCCCCTTTGATCTCCACCCTGCAGCCCTGGCGGGCTGGCTGGGGCGCCCTGATGGAGGTTTTCAAGGCAGATCAGAAGGTTGGTAGCCCCCAGATGGGGTGAAGGTGCTGGGCCAAGAGCAAACCTGTGCTCAGAGCACTTGGGAGCTGACAATGCATAGAGAGGGGAGAGCGTGTGCAAGGGCGTTTGTGGGAGCCTGGGCGGATCTCCGGTGCTTCAAAGTGCACAAAACAGCAGCCCCTCAGGAACGAGAGCAAAAGTGCAACCGCGAGGGAGTGACCCAGCTATATACCAAGGCGGGAGGATGACATGAGTAAGCTGGTTTCTGTATGCCTGGGTAATTCGGAGCGCAGCCCTGGCCTCCTGTTGCGGGGGTGTGGGCGTGAAGCCAGGTGTCACTTGATGTGAGAGAACAAGTTCTCAGGAGTGCGCGTGCGGGGGAGGCTGTGAGGACGCGTGTGTTTGTTGAAGTCCCAACATCACCGTCTGTAGGTGTGTGTGTGTGTGTGTGCATGCGCGAGCGGAGGAAAGCTGCACCAGCTGAACACATGGTGCGAATTACCACCAAGCCTGTTCCCCAGCTGCCAGCAGCTGCCCAAACGCACTCCCTGCCTGCACCAGCCAGCTCAGCTCACTCAACTCCACCTGCTCCCAGCCAACTGAAGCTACAGCACTCGCAGCTCCTCTGATATCAAATGCAGGAGGACCAGGCTGTATTGTGCCTTGGGTTGAGCATATTTAAAAACACTGCTTTTCCATGCCACTGATGCAATGTTCCTCAGCTGTGGCTCCTTGCAGCTCGTTTCTCCTCGGCCCCCCCACGGCCCCCACAGGGCACCGGGCAGAGGTGTGGTGCCAGGGTGCCAGAACCTGCCCCGCGGTCCACATGCGAGGGAATGTGAACGACAGCGTGCAAGCGCGCGTGTGTGTGTTTATGTTGTAACGCAGCAGCGCGGCCTCTGGGCCCAGCGCCAGCTCGGGGCCGGGTGTGCATCAGCCTCACTCCTGCCAGCGGCCGTTGCTCACCGACTGTTTCTGTTCTCTGGTAATCTTGGATTTCAGAGAAAGAGGAAGTGGAGAGGACTCGTGACTTCTGCTGGGGGGCGGACGGGGGAAAGCGAAGGCAGGTGCTCTGCCTTTCGCAGAAAGATGCGGGGCCCCTAGAGATGGTGAAGACTTTCCTCCCCAGCTGTAGCACACAGCCCTGGAGATTCCCGGGTGGGGACCTCCACTCTGCCCCCGCACATGGCACGGCCCGCTTCTCGCGGGGACGCTTCTGGGGAGCTCCTAGAACAAGCCCCCTCCCTCCTCGCACCAGCCTCTTATCCCTCCACCCGCTGGTGCCAAATCTGGAGGCTGTGCCAGTTTGGCTGGGCATCCCGCAGGACAGATGTCACTGCAGCAGCAAGTGCCCTGGCTTCAGGAGGTGTCTGGGCAATACTGAAGCCCCCGTTGCAAAGGATCCCACTGCTACTGAGCATGGGGCCAAAACTCAGCTCCCAGCATGGTGGGGTGATGAAACCCGATGGGCACCGGGCACTTTTGACAATCCGGCCGCTTCTGGGGGCCTCAGTGGGGAAAAGGCCCAGACAACTGCTAAGGGTCTGAAGAAAGCTTTCAGGGACTCTGTAGCACCTGGTTAGCAGTGAGCCCCTCCTGCCTCTTGCGGGAACGGTGTCCTTGCTTGGGCACTACAGAATCACCCTTGCCAGGGCGGACTTTGAGCTGGCCACCCGAGGCCTTCTCTAAACAGCTCTGATGCATCGAGATAAACCGATAGCTGCGGCACCCCTCACAATTTCTGATTCTCACTTGCGCTCCACCAAAAACCCCCAAACCCTCCCCTCAGGCCTAGCGAGTGATCCAGCATTTCCAAAAGGGCAACCTCATCCCCAGGGATCCTGGTTTTCTCCGATTTAAAAAAACTCCCCAACTTTTAGTTAAAAAACAGGAACCCCAAATCACATTTTGCCATGATTCAAATGGAACACCACTCTTTATATATGTATATACTTGTGGTGGTTCATTTAAATCATGGAAATGTGGATTTGGGGTTACTTTTTTTTAACCGAAAATTGGGGGGGTGTTGTTTTTTTCAAATCAGAGAAAACCAGGATCCCTGCTCATCACAGGAGAAGTGCTTAGGAAATGAGGTTTTGGCCATGAAAAATTTCAGCAAAACAGAACCCCCCCCAATGTTTTCTCCTAAAATGCCCATTCATTCCCCACAGCTGCAGCACATTCTTATCCGATTCATTTTGATAAAGCCCTGTTTTTTTGAGGGAAAACTTTTATCTAAAAGATTGACCAGCAGTAGCCAGTAGGTCCTGCCCAGTGTAAGAGGTAAAGCCGCCCCCTCCTTTGGCTTATCAAGAAAACAGACTGGTGTCCGGTCCACCCCAGGGAGTACGGCTGATGTGGCCTTTAGGAAGCCAGGGCTGGATCTGAGCTGCCCCGTCGCAGCTGCTCTGCAGCCAGAGGATTTCATTTCTTCCCTGTGGTCACTTTCTCCCTGGAGCGCCATTCACTTCAGCTCATGCAACAGTGGGTTTCCCCAAGAGCTCTGTACTTGCTGTGTCTGGCTTGTCTGAGCCTTGGATGAGTAACCCAACTGGTATCTGCTCTGAGCTGCCTGCTGGATGGAGAAGGACCAGCTGCTTCTCAGAGTAATGTACTGTTTTCTCAGGAGAGCCAGAGTTGTGTCATTAGGCCATGGAGGCTGAAGCCTTCCATGCTCTCCACCAACAAACACAACGCCTTTCGTGTGTGCTCATCCCTCCTTCACCTCTGCATACACACCCAGCACTTGCTCAAGCATGTAAACACATCTCCAGCCTGCTCACACCTTACCCCGTGCTCACTCCCACACAGTATATGTTCCCCCACTAAGGCAAGCTTACCAACCTAGGCATATTTGCAACGCTCAATAAATGCACCAACCCACATAACGATACACACTCTACTGCACGGACAGACAAACACACGGTCCAGTGTAAATGATGCTGTTTTTATATACTGAAATAAATTACACCAGAATCAGTCGGGGACAGGCAAATGGAGATCCCTGGGTAGCTGGCTCAGCGGGCAGCTATTACTGTGTCTCACCACTAGATGTGGCAGAGCAGGTAGAAGCCTGTTTGCCTTTAGCTCAGGGGTGGGCAAAATGCGGCCCGGGGGCCAGATGCAGCCCGCCAGGCCATTCTGTCCGGCCCGCGGGGCCCCTAAAATATTTAGAAAATTAATATTTATCAGCCCTGAGCTGCCTGTCATGCAGCCCTTGATGGCTTGCCAAAACTCAGTAAGCGGCCCTCTGCCCAAAATAATTGCCCGCCCCTGCTTTAGCTTCTTTGGGATGAGCACAGACAGATGTGCAACTTGCACAAGGAAAATTTTACTCCTGATTCTTTCAGGGGTAATTTTGCCACTGGACTGGACAGTTACCTCTGTTTAGTGCTTTATGTTGTACAGCCACTACTTTTTATGCCTCTAAACTTTTTCTCTCTCAAAACATTACACGAGCCATGATCGCTCCATACCCATGCTAGTATACCACCGAGCATGTATCACCCCCGCATACACCCTGTACACACGAGCCCTTCCCAGCATTCCCCATTTTAACAAACTGTCCCTTCCCAACACAGTCAGCCAGCAGTGTTCGTAAAGGCGGCTGCATGGAGCTCCTCTAATCACCTTTCCTCCAGAAGAGTCAGCGCTTTGGCTCTGGGAACAGACACTGTCTCATTTGGTTTTGCAGAGGCAGTGGGAGGGGAGCATTTCCTCATACCGTGTCCTGACGGCACTGCACCCAGCTTTGGGATCTCTCAGCTGTGTTCAGGGCTGGGCAGGATTAACCATGAGCAGGGAAGAGCGACACTGAGCTGCCGTGATTGTTGTTGCAACCATTCCCTTGAATTCCTCCTCCTGCTGGCAATCGCACAGAGGATCAAACTACAGAACAAAGGGTAGCAGATGATGTATATCGTGGCAACGCCTAGAAACAACCAGTCAGTAGTCAGCCTTGCTAGTGCTGTACAACCCAGTCTACACAGTAATTGTAACAGAGATGTAGCCCAGTTCCATCTAAGCTAAGCTGGGGTTTGTCTATACCAGGGGTGGGCAATTATTTTGGGTGGAGGGCCGCTTACTGAGTTTTGGCAAGCCATCGAGGGCCGCATGACAGGCAGCCAGGGGCAGATAATATTACTTTTCTAATTTTTTAGGGGTTCTGTAGGCCAGATGGAATGGCCTGGCACGCTGCATCCAGCCCGCGGGCTGCATTTTGCCTACCCCTGGTCTATACCATCTGCAGTCACAGCAGTATAAGTCCTACCCACAGATAGTCCCCACTCCAGGGGACACGCATTAAAATGAACAGATACAATAGGTTGGGAAAAGGATCCTCAGATGTCAGAGAAGCCTGGAGCCCCATTTAAGACTTTATTGTTCCTCTTCACAGAGAAGCGGTAGCCGTTACTGGGGTAGAAGGCAGCTGCAGGAACGTGGCAGCTGACGGCAGGAAGTGCCAGGCATGGGTGCACTGGAGCTGCATGGGGAGTTGTGGATAGCGGCATGCAACCACGCCAACGAGCGGCTGGCCAGCGGGTTGAGCCTCAAGCCAAGGGAGGTGGGTCCACACAAGCCGAGTTCACTCCATGCCTCATCTGAAGGTACGATCTTGCTGCAGTGGGAGAGGGGAAGCAGTTCAGTGCTGCCTCTCTCTCTTGCTCTGTTCTTTTGCTGTATCCTCCATGGCAGAGGCTGATGAAGCCACGTGCTCCTCCGTTGTGTTGCTGAAAGCAGCTGTGGTTTCCCCATCAATCCTTTACCATTAGTAACTCCATGTTCCTATCTTGAGGTGTTGCAATCGCCCTTAGCACACTCCAGAGCCCTGTTGAAATGAAGCGGGGAGGAGCCAGCTGGCAAAGGGACCTTGGAAAGGCAAATTAGGGCAAGAGGGAGGATATGCAAAGCAATATCAACAGCCAGGGAAACTAGAAACAATCTCCAGAGAACGAAGCAGGGGTCACATTTCTTTTTCTGGAGACAGGAAACCATGTTGCAACAGCTGCTGACTCCTCCACCGTTATTTATGTCATGGGGCCTACCGGCAGCCAGGATGTTCAGTCAGAAGGAGGGAAGAGATAAACCCCATCTTCTATTCCAAAAGTAGCAGAGTTTCTGCTTTTGGCTAGTGGGTGTGGAGGGAAGCAGCTGAGGGTATTTTGCAAGGGGTGGAGTGGCGAGAAAAGGTTAATGGATCAACACCACAGCAGCCACTGGGATAAATGGCTTCAACATGCAGGACCATTCATTGCTGTTTCTTCACCTTCTCAGGCTGGTGCGGGTTGATAGCTTCTGTCGGATACGACCCATGTCCGTTGGATTCACTTCCCACAGCCTATTCTGAGCCTCAGGCCCAGGGAGGCCAGAAAAAAAAAAGAACTCAGCTGAAATTCAGACCTTTTGCCTGACTTTGGGCTGAAATTATGAAAAGCCAGCTTTGCTGAAAATCCAAAGCTCCCCATAGCCAACGGTGTGTTCATTAATCACAGGTGCTCTGGGTAGCCATAGCAAGGGCAGCCCATGAAATTCTCCGTCTGCACCAGAGCATCTTGCTGGAAGTTGTAGGGAGGAGCTAAGCAGATGGTTTCCATCCGTCCTTCACACGGAGGAGCTTTAGCAGCTGAAGATGCAGGTCGCTCACGCAGCGGATGAATCATGAACCGTGACCCAAGTGGGTATTTATCCAAGCTCAGAACACACTTGAGAGCTGGGATGCACCTGGACCCAGGTTTGGCTGTGGATGGTTTCCCTGGGTTTCAGGTCTGCTTGGGTGTTTGGGTCCCAGCCTCCTCTTGGGCTTTGGAATTGGTCCTCATAGCTCAGTGGCCCAGACCAGGCACTCCACGGGCTCCTAGGAGCAGCAGTGCAGGTGAAGGAGGAAATGGCTGGGGAGCATTTCAGCAAGGAGCTCTCAAATGGCTGGCTCATTTGCCAGCAGAACTGCTTTAAAAACATCAGAGGAAAACATGCATTTTCGCATGTGATTTCTGGAGCACAAGGCATCTCTGATGCCAGTGGTTTGCAAATTCACTTCTAACAGTAGCTTTGGGAAAGGGAAAACAGTCCCAAGTCTCTGTAGCCTTCTAGCTGTTAACAGCACATCCAACCCCTATAGGAACAATCTGCTCTGAAGTGCTTTTCTTGCCTGACTGGATTATAGCAAGGCTGTTTGGCCCTTCCAGTACTTGAGGCACTCACCTCCCTGTGCCTGGGAAAGTACTGCTCTCATGCAGGCTGCAGCGTAACACTCAAATGGGCTCAATATTTCCCAGCCCTTGGGTTTGGCCTCAGCTCTGGGACCCAAGGCTTTCACGACTGGTTCTCCAGGCTCCTCACCTTGAATCTCAGTGCTGGCCCCTGAGGCACGTCTCGGGCAAGCTGAGCGTGTTCTGCCTGGGGTTTCAAGGGGTCCTCCGGAGGATAACGTAAGAGCAGGTCACTACAAAGGGGCAAGTGGGGCTCAAGCTGGTGTAGCTGCTCAGAGCTTGATGAAACATTCTGGGACACCTGCTCTTCCCTCTCTCAAATCTTTGGAGGGACACAGGCTGGGATTTTGCAAGAGTTAACAGACTTAAGAATCCATGACTGTTATTTTGGGTCCCGTCAGGAAAACCCAACCCATCCCTCCTTGGTTTTAGGGAGTTCTGGAGCTCCAGGACCAGCAGTGTCCGCACTTTCCCTTTCCTAGGCCAGTCAGTGGCCCACAAACGTTTATTTTTCATCTGGAAAATACAATTAGCTCCAAGCCTTTTATCCAGTAAGTAGGTTACCCCCAGTAACAAGGGGACCTCTGAGATCTATTGCCACAGGGCTCACACCCATCACCCCAGCACATGACAAGCAGCAGACTTGATTCATCACAGCATCACCACTGTTCATTTCTATGGCATTACCATGTCAAATGGAGCTTGGCACATGAATAAGGTTGAGTCCGTGTAAATAAATCCCCAATGCAGGTGTACGTCAGAAAGGCAAGTAAATATCCCTTCTGCTCAAGAATGTTTCCCTGAAGTTCTGATCGGACCTGACAAATGCCGTCTTGCTTTCGAAAGCTTGTCTAACCCTATCCCAATTACACAGCTGGTCCAATAAAAGCTACCACCCTAGGAAATCCCTGCTTCCGGATATGTGTGGCTTTAAATCAAACCCCACGGAAGTAATATTGTATTCACTCTCCTCAACACAAACTGAGCTCCGAGGTTTTTCCTTCTATATGATTCTTTCTGAAGCAAATGGGTTTTGCAAGGGAAATGCCATCTACCAAATGAGGGTGAGAACAAGGGTGAACTAGCTGGCAACCTCTGCCGCAGGATCTCCAGCATTTGTGCCATCTCCCTCTGGTTTCCTTGCAGACAGAATGTGTAGGACGCCAGGATTGCAGAACCTGCAGCCTGATAAGCAGGGCAAGGCGTTGGGTTTGACTGGAGAGGTGAGTGTGAGAAATGCTGACTTTGCATCTCTGAGGTCCAATTGCACCTGGCTAGTGAGATGAAATGCAAGCCCTCACTTTTTGGTGGTGCATGATGCAGTTACATAGAGATTGTGGCCTATTTTCCAATTCTGTCAAAGCCAATAGCAAAACACTGGATGGGATCAGTGTATTTGATGGTTGGCTACAGTTATTTGGGTAAGTGACTGATTGGCTATTTCTGTTTGCAAGTTCCAGTGATTGTCAGCCAATCTAAAAGCAATCCTTCTCCACTTGGGCTAAGAAGCTTTATCATTAGAAACAGGCAAAAAGGAGGCGCAATGGGCAGATACTCTGGGGGTTTCTGCAGCTTATAAAGTAGGTACGCTGATTAAAAGGAAATGTGTGAGAGCCTGTAAACAATGAAGCCAGACAGAGGGTAACTTTGGGATAAATCTATGGTAGCAGCACGTCACAGCAGAAATGCTCACGTTTCTCCCCCATCTATGGACAATAACATGTTAGCAAGTTATTCTGGACAAATCAATAGGGATAAATTTACCACGGCTGCACTGCAGGGACTAGTCAGGCCCCATAAAAAGCCCTTGGGGTGAATAAATCTGCAGCCTCTGACATGTTTCAGATGATTAACCAGTCACGATTGCTTTGACAAGCCAGAGGAAGGTGGGTCAGGTAAACAATGCTTTAGGCTCTACTCTCCTTCCTCCTGCGAATCATCCAAGGGACGTGAGAAGACAGGGCTTTCATGTAGTCTGTGGGACCTGGGGTCTGTCCTCCTCCATGTACATTGAAGGTATACATAGCAGGTGTGCTTGCACCAGAGCCAACGTGTCCAATAAAAGCGAGGTCACACTACAAGGGCTCCAGCCTGGGCTGTACAGGCCCCACTTACCACCATGGGTCCTCACACCAACAGCTGGCCAGTCCTGCAGTGTCTTCACAGCTATTGCTACCTGAGCTGGGAGATAAAGCTAGCCTAGCAATGTATACTCAAGTCATAAACATTTGCTTGCAGCACAGGGATACCCCTAGCCAGAAGCAGTAGTCTGGAGCAGCAGGTTTTGTAGGATAAGCACCAGGGAGTGGGTGAGTGACAGAACAAGTGCCTCAGGCTGGCACGCTAGATAGAGGTCCCAAGAGCAAGTGCCAGCCATGTCCTGGGTGGGTGTCATGGGTTGGCAGGTTATTGCCACAGCTGGTGCCAGGCACTGGCTCATCTTACACAGCAGACATGAAATGATCTGGAATTTCTGCTGCAAATCACAGATGAGAACAGCCAGGTGTAATGACAAAATGCCGCTGGGAACTCAAGAGTATGGTGTAGCTTTAGGGCATCTATTGAGCCAACTGGATGTAATTACTAACCCAGTCAAGAGCATTTACTCAGTGCTTGTGCCCTGTAGCCTGCGTAGCGCTGGAGACTCCACTTTCTAAATGCAATCAGCCAGGATCTGCTGTTCTTCACACCAGTGCAACTCTATAGGCTCCACTGGATTTGCAGAAAAGCACAGACTTTGAACTGAGATGCACTGGAAAGTTGTTGCTGCCTGCTTGGGCCCTTCCTTGAGCATGAATGGCTGGGCTCCTCCTGCACTCTGGATGTTCTGCCCAGAGAGGACTTAGGGCAAATATTTTTTTTTCTGAAGACTCTGGGAGCCCAGACATGGCCCTCCTCTAGATAAAGCAAGGACCAAAGCCTGTGACCCACTGACTAGAGCACATCATATTGATGAAGGCTCTCCTATCAGCTCTAGTCAAGAAGCCACCTCAAGTCTAGACTACGCTGCAATGTTCGCCTGGCAAATCTGCTAGTGAGTCCACACTCAAGCTCCTCTGTGGGGGCAGGAGCCTGCATTCTGCTGGTAGCATGACACTGCCTCTGCCAAGTGAAAAGGTTTCTGCTACCATCCCACATCTGGCAGAAGATGCATGGTGACAAACCCACACCTTCTGCTGGCTGCCATGGTCCCTTCAGCAGCAGCTCCTTCCTGGTGTGCATGTGGCTC